ATGACAAATTCATCAACATGCGGGTAAGAAAACATCCCCTTGCCATCAAATCTCTTATCCTGCAGGCAGACCAAAGCTGTAATTTCCAGCAGGGATCAGGACTGAAGGTAGAAAAGAGCATTTAGATGCTACACTGACCAAGATAAATGTCACGGAAAATTTCTCACTGGATAACAGTACATAATCGATAGAATACTAAATTGTCACTTCTGCAGCTATTGTTTGAACACAGATGGGTTGTTAAATGAGCATGGTAACCTCAAAATGATTCCTAATTTATGTGACGATTATAAAGTGCTGGATTTGTAATTACTGTTTTCCTTGATGCACACATGCAACTCAAATTAGCATTAATAGAAGCTATATGTATACATGGAAAAAAAAATACACTCCCATTATAGTTCTTTCCCCTCAAAAATTAATGAGGGTATTTTTTGTCACTCAACATTCATGGAATATCCCTGCACAGTATCATTAAAATATTTAAAGATATAGTAAATGAACTGAAATGAATATATAGAAAGAACAGCTGGAAGTTCCTGTAACAAGGCTTCGGGAACAACAAACACACAGAGAGAAACCCCCAGTCTGCTCCAAGATGTCACGTTCAGTCGCCCCCGGCATCGCCGGGCGCTTTGAGACCACGCAGGGCCCAGTGACAACAGGGCAGCACGGCCGGTGCCTAATGCGCCTCACGTCAACGCGGTGCAGGGCGCTGCTAAATAAAAACTATTTCCTGGTTTCTCATCAGCTAATGAAAAACTGGCATTTTAGCAGGGGAAAAAAAAATCACTAATTAGTGTTAGTTGAAGAGCTGGGCTCAAGCGAATTCTTAAGCCAGCTCTGCTGCTGCTGTTCACCGGTTCAGCGCTGAGGAGGTGAAACAGTCTACTTTCATAAAGATGTGACGCAGTATTTTAAAATAAGCAACAGTCAAGCTTTTAACAACAATTTTCATTCTCATCGGCACAATGTGACTAATGTGAGTGCTCTTCACATGTTTTTGCAGCTTGATACGTTGAAAATTAAGGGCATATAAAAGCTGAGGGGGAACAGAATTTGGGTGTGCTGTATGAACTTACCTTTCTCTGACTGATCATCTGGAGTTTGGTTGCCTAATGCTAACCCTCAGCCCTATAATTTGCTATCAGCTTCACTGTCATTACCAAGCACTGCAAACAATTACTTCTACTAAAAAAGCCAATTCAAAGCTTCCCTTTCTGGGTGGAAGAGCCACACTCCCATAGCTGTTATTAAAATCATCGCTATTCTTGTTCCATACGAGTGACTGACAAAATATCTGTTTCCCCTGGAAATTGCTGCAAAGCTGGAGGAGTCACTTTAACAGGACACCCATGTCTATTCACAAAGATAAATCCTTTATTTAGTAATAATTAGCTATACACAGATGAACAAGAGTCAGGGTAAGAAGTCTTCCAGCAGATGTTTATACAATGTGGTTTTAAACTAGCCTTTTTTGTTGTTGCTGAACATCTATCATCTTACTGTACAATTTATATTTTACATTTCCGTCTTCAAAAGAAACTTGAACATAATTTAAAATCTGAATTGAGATGTATGCAATACTAATCCATACAACGGCAATGCTGAGAGTAAACTGAGAGGTCATCTGCAAGTAGCAAGGTATGAATCTCCATTTTTGAGAACCAAAATCAACCAACCGATACCCTCAAACCATAAGTGTGCTAACCTGGAGGTTAGAACAGCCATGGCAAGCACAGTTTGTGTCTTCACATTCTGTGCTCAGCAAGTTCCTGCATGGAAATTAAAATTTAATTCTGTAGGTTTAGAGTCAAAGATGAATATGAATTGCAAGAACCAATCACTTTTTGTCCACGTTTCAGACTTGCATATTGCCTTTAAAAAGAGGGAGAATGAGGAGAAAAAAAAATAAATGGCTGTGACTCCAAAACAGAAAACACTGATTTTATAATGGTGTTAGATGACTAATTTTGAGAAACAACCTGCTACAAGTCCAGCAAAGTTCCAAGAATATGAAAAGCTGCTGTTTAGAAGAGTGACGTTCTGACTGCAGAAGAGCAGAATTACCAAGATCCACAGAGGCCATCAGAGAGCTTCAAAATAAATCAGTTTTCTGTATCAAACTGTAAGGCTTTCTAAAGAGATGCCATATAGATTGCTCAGGACTCAATACACTAGTGATCTTACTCAAGTCTCCAAACTGTGACTCTCCCAGTCAGCAAAACGCCTGCTCATCATAAACATCTGCTTAAAATAGTGATTTTTGGAGTCTTGGCATATGAATTAAAAAAAAAAAAGCCAAGGGAAAAGTATTATCGTCTTGTAAGCAAAAGAATCACCAAGTATTGCTTCCACAAGCAAAACATAACCCTATTTTATTCTTGCATCTCTGATGAAATAGTGGGAGGCTGTGGCAGCACAAAATCCTGCTCACCTGCAACTCTTCAGCTGTGCAACAACTTACTCTGGTGTTCTAGGAAGCTTCTCTCATTTAATTTGGGAGGTGGGGGGGAGCAGGGAAGACCAGAAGAAAGCAAAACACCTTTTTGCTATAATCAGTAATGAGTCATCCCCTCTCCCTTGTATTGGGCCTAAAAAGCAGACAGGCAACGATGGAGAGCATTCATGTAAAGCCACAAACAAGTCAGGAATGTTTATCTAGCAACTCTATGGAACAGGAAATTCTCAGTCATCTCTCAGAAGTCACTGCCATCCTTTAAAATAAATACTCTACTGTACCACAAGCCTTCTCTTTACAAAATACCTTTAAGAGTTGCTTCCCATCATCTAGTTTGCTTGAAGCTGGACAAAGCTGCAGCGTATGCACTGGCTTAAAAAAGGAAGATTGCAGAGACCAACACCAGTCTCACAGCCACGTCAGACCCTTCGTAGATTTAACCCAACTCTGATTGTTACTGATACTCACCATTTCAAAACGCTCCCTTCTCCCACACCTTCGAGTACTTGCAAAATCTGTCCTCGGTGATTAAAAACATCAGCTTTGCATAGTCACTTATTCATCTGCATCCCTGCTACCCTCCACAAACACACACAAAATTGTCATTAAAACAGCTCGTGGTTTCGGAGTCCTTAAAAAGCCTGTAAGGCAACTTTTCCTTCTCTTTAGGCAACCACTGGAATTTCAAAGCCCATGGCAATGTCGGCAAATGCTCATGGAGGGAAAAAAAAAATGAACAAAAACCCAGCCCACCTTCTCCTCCATCTTTCAGACTAGTGACATCTCTAAAATTGTGCCAAAGGAAAAAGGTGGTCAAGATTGAAATACTATTTACAGCATTTGTACATTATTTGCAGCATGCAACAGTAGACAAATCATTTAATTCCAAAACTAGCTCTTGAGGGAGAAGGGACATTTGATTTTTGCTAGTCACAATACAGGAAAGGGAGAAGCCTTAACTGTTGCTAACTCTTTCTGGCAGTTCAGAGATAACTGCACCTTTATAATCTACCACACCGCTATTACAAATTAAAAAAGGAGACACTTGGTTAAAATAAAAGGGACATGGCAAATTAAAATAATTCTGGACTGCCACTACGTTAACAAGGCTTTACTTCGCTTCTGCGCTCCAAGGATGAAAGCAGAAGTCCTTGCATTTGATGTTATTGTTAAAGAAATTTTTTACCTGAGGATTAATAACATTTTTTGCATCATTTTAATAGTGAGAAAATGAATGGCTAGCAGAAAAGATGAAGGTTTAACTCCCTTAAAGTTATTGTTGCTATATTTAGCTGCAGAGAAAGCTGTAACAAACAAAAGAAAGAAAAATGCTATTTGCACTATTTGTAGCAGTATTGCAATACTGGCAGCACCAAATTCAGTACTTTGCTTTGCTAGTGCCCACATCGAGACATCTTGCACTTGATTTACAAACATAACTTCATCAGTGTAGTTATACTTTTATAATTCCCCAGGAAAAAAAAAAAAAGTTTTTCACACCAATAAAAAGATATCCTTTTTCTTATTAAAATATACTGCCCTCTCACAAATGAGGAATTATACCAGCATAGCTCCTGGTAAACAGATATGGGAAACCTCCCTGGAGAGGTCAGGTCTGATTGTACGATCCTGTGGTGTCCTGCAAGTCACAGAAATTTAGGTTTCTTGAGACTGAAAAAAATACTGAAGTTGTGAGATCACTGGAGCAACATCATCCATGTCTATTTCTCATTCTCAGGCTCATAGACTAATGACATAAACTTAGGGCAGTCTTTATTGACTCTTAATTGATCCCTAAGACCATGCCCAAAATCAAGGAGAGTGCATTCTGCTTTGACTTCTACTTCAAAGTAGATGTTGAGGATATAGAATTTGGAACTTTGATTTTTTTTTTCCATTTAAGAGAAAGCTTCCCATTCTTAATATTTGCATATTTTGTATGTTTTTTGTAAAGTCACACTATATTTCGATTTCAGATTTTCGTCAGCTCTTCGAACTTCTAGCTCTTGTTTAAAAGAACACTAATGCACTTCCTGGATAGTCCAATATGAAAGATATTCTGGAGCAGTGAGGTGGATTACTTCAATATTTAGTTTGCTACATGAAGCCTCTAATATTTTGCTGGGGCTCTTGTCAAGTTTCACAAGGAAGAATATTTCAGACCAGAGTACTTCTGAAAAAATTAAATTGCATCTTCCTCACTAGCAAATGAGTTCAAATTAGCCCAACTACAATTCAAAGACGACTTCCTTATCAGCCATTAAAGATGATAACTAATGTAAATTGAGCACAAATCTGTTTACAATTTAATGATCCATCTCAAGTAACTACCAGCAGAATTTACCATCACCTAAAAACTGCCGTAAAATATACTGTCAGAAGTAATTTAAACTTTTTTTTTTTTTTGAGAAAGCTCAGCTCTTGCAATGCCATCGAATATCAGGGATTTGTAAAGATGTAGAAATAAGACTTCTTTGGTTGAAGTTACGTTTCTCTGAGAAACAGTAAAAAAAAAACTGCAAAACCCAGGAAGTTTTCGAATGATGAGTTAAAACCAAGAGCTGTGCTTCACTGCAGCGTTGTGCATTTTTAACCTGTTATAGAAATTAATCCAGGATCATACTTAGCAAGAACAGTTTCCACAACCTTTCACACTATTGATAATTTCTTCTTGTAGTTTCTTCCTCTCCTCCTCTTTGGACATCTGATTGTTTCTCTCCTCCCATTTCTGATTGATACTACTGCTATTCCGCATTTTGCTGCTCTGTGTATGCCACATCTCGGAATAGAGATTGCTCGGGCTGGCCAGGAGGTCTGCATGTCTGCCACGTTCAACAACTTTGCCCTGTAAAAGAAGAAGCCAGCAATCAATATTACCAGATCTTCAGGAATACCAGCACTGCCAACAAACTGCTCACGGCAATTCTGGATTAGGATAAGGCTGAGGCAGCAAAAGAAGACTGAACGTGTGGAGAATTGCATTTGGGTCACACTGCAGGTAGAAAAGAAGGAGCTGTACTCTTAAACTTATGTAAATAGGAGCACAGACTCCTTTTCTCAACCTGGACAAAACTTAAAGCCTACAAATATGAAAAGTTTTATCATTCAAGCTGGAAGTGCTCTCTGAACTAAGCGTAGAAATTCTTCTACAGCAAGATGCTAAACTACTAGAGTGAAAGGCACACGGATGTACCAAGACAGACATGCATCTGTCCCTGCCTGCTGAGAGACATACTTAAGCTACACTGAAAGTAGCTGAAAGAGGAGAGCACACACAAGTGATTTGTAGCAGTTAAGCCAAAAACATTTAAAATCAGATTCTAAAAGCAATTAATGTAAGATGTGTTTTCAGAAAGGGGCCACAGTTGCTTTTGGCATTAGAAGTGCCATCATGAAAATATAGCGAGCAGCTTAGTGAAAGAGCGACGCTGATTTATTGACTATCGTAGTGTGGGAAGGGGAAAGAGGAGGAGGAGGGGAGAGCCCAGACCCTGCAGAGCGCCAAACATCACTATTCTGCAGAACAGAGGCTGCAGTCTTTTTCATGAGAGGGCCATTTACATCCACCGACTTCAACTTAAAATAATTTGTCCCTTCTCTACCTATTCTTTCTCTTGGGAAAAGAGAGCATTATACGGACAACTACATGGATTTTGTATTAGTTCCAAATTCTGATCTACAATTAAATCTACCTCCTTGTGACAGCTGCTGATGAACATGCTGGGAAACAAAATTGGGTCTTGTCACTTTTATTAGTAGTCGTGCTGGTGGAAACTTAACAAATATGTAGTTGGCCAACAAAACTGTGGAATTTATTTAAAAACACTAAGCGTATAGACTTGAGAGAGTTCACTGCAGTAGAGACTAGGTTTATGAATTAAACTATTTTTATAATTTTCACAGTTGCCAGAAATTTACCTTCTCCACTCAGCTTTGCAGCATCATTACTGTTAATACAGTATTTGCTTACTCAGTTATTCTGATTTTTACCTAGGCAAAGGTACTGAAATTGCAATACAATATTTTACATGGCTAACCAAAACCAGTCCCAATTTTCTTGTCTCTTTTCCATTACTGATCCTCATTTCATTGGCTGTTACAGCAGCACTCATCAAACCGGGACCAAAGGCAACTTTCTGTTGAGCAAACGTCAGCAATGCCGGCGAAGCAGCCGGACCCCAAAGGCGATGTCCCTCGCTGCCTCGCTCACGCACAGCCTCTTTTACACCAAAATCATTCAGGAAAGTGAGCATCCTAGCTGATTTACAGTTTTAGGTTGTGTTTTTATCTTTAACAGTTACTCCGTAACACAAAACACACTCTGACTAAGCTGTGAAAACTTGCATCGAAAACAAACAAAAAAAAACACAGATTGCCGTGTAACATGTTAAAAACATTTGCGAGATGTTGTAAATGCAGTTAGAGAAAGGATACACCTTAGGAAATGATATTTCAGCAAAAGCAGAAAAAAGTCAGCAGAACAAAATGGAACAAAATATTGACAGAGAAATATGAGTGAGTTTATTCCACTACTCAGTTTTTAGATTCACATGAAGTTGAGACTTGTATAGCTAAGCTGGCCAGGAACACCACCATTTCATCAATTTTTGTTCTAATTTCCCATTAAATCATTTCGTCTACTACAGGAATAACTTATTTTCTTTTATATGGGCAATTTTAGTCATCAAATGCAGCTATAGTCACAAGCATAGAAATAAACCCCTAACCCTTAAAATAATGGACTACAGAGCTGATTTAACATCTACTACAACCAGGTTACAGCCCTGTTTTCAGCATTATCAGTTAAAAAACAATGACAAACTCATTTTAAGGACATTTATTTAAAATCTATAACCAAATATGGGTAACATATTTCATGTTTTAATGATTGATATAGATGAAAGCAGATTTAGGATGGACTGAATATAAGGCAAGTGCTGAACAGTGATGTTAAATGTTGAAAGCAGTGTGCGTGTGTATATATGTGTATGTGTGCACGTGGCATGGGTATGTTTAAGGTAGACATACAGCACAAGGGAATGACTACAATTTTCTAGAGTGACATTAGAGAATAGTGCTCAGATTTCTAACATAATTAGGTTGAATAAGCCAACAACGATGTTATCCGCATGGAAACAGAGCATGCCATGCTCTCTTCCCATTGAAAAAACCCCAATGGATGCATGTGGAAGAGGGCCACTCACTGTATAATGAGAATGAAGCATAAATTGGGGGAACACATTAGGAGCCCAAACAGATAGGGGCATATAATAAACTAAAAATATGCAACATTAAACCATTCCCAGCTCATCAAATGAATTTTGTAATAAACCATATAAAGTACATGTAATTACGTGTACTATGCACACAAAGCCATAATACACACAGCAAAAAAGGATCACTGAAAGGTTTCTACAGCTTATAAAATGCTAGCTGCAAACAAGAGAAATATATAAAAAGCAAAACTTGGGCAAGATTAAAAAAAATTCATTTCCAAAGACAAAAGTTTCAGCAGCTTGGTGAGGGTTTTAAGGGTACACCAAGTCTTTATAGTGATGTTATGTGAAAACTACATTTCACAGGAAAAAAGCCTCACCTGATCCAGGACAATGATTTCATCTGCATCAACTACTGTTGACAACCTGTGGGCAATGAAGACTGATGTTCGGTGCTTCACCATGTCCCTCATGGCACTGAGAATGTTCTGTAAGATTAAAATCAGACAAAAGCTTGCACATTCCTAGATTGTACGAAAGGAAATAAAATGCTGTTTGAAATATTCAAATTATTTTAAATGAGTATTGAGAAACATCTCCAAAATTGCCAGTTTCACACTAGAAAACAACTAGGAGCATCTACAGAAGAGGCAAATAAAGTTCAAGATTGAACCACTTGTGGCTCTGACAGCATCCTCAAAATTATATATTAAAAAAGCTTATACTCATAGGGAAGGGAAAACATATATATATATAAATATATATATATATATATCCCAAGGGATGAAAGAGGAGAAGTGTTACTTGATTTCAGGAGAATATCCTTGAGCATTCCAAATCATCAAAGCAGTTAAGACACTCGAAAATAATAATGACAGACTTCCCAAATGAACAGAGGTTAAAGGCAAAAAATCCCTTTCAAAACTATGCCAATGTGGAACACGAAGCTAAAAAATATTGGAATCATTTCCCACACTTTTCTACCTTCCCGAACCACATCCGGCTGCAAGCAGCACTAATTGGGAGTTTGTTCTCTCACTATGTGAAGTGCCCATTTTGTTTCCCTGAAAAAAACACCAGGCTTTGCCAAAAGACATGCAGATTACCTGACATACCAAGGACTCTGTTTTATTTGCTGTCTTTAAAATTGAGCTCTACTGTGAAACTTTCAGCTTTGCTTATGGTTCTCGCAACACGTACAGCAAAATGAAAAGGTAAGTATTATTGCGTAGAACTGTGTTAAGAACATTTCCGATCATATGAGGGAGCTGGGAATCATTATTTGAAAGCAGTGCTATACAGATGTACAGTATGTACCTTAGCTTCTTCGCATCTGGAGAATGTAAGTAATTTAGTGATTACAGGTCAGCAAATTTGCTCAATGATCTGCATAAGTGAAGACAAACATACACAGAGCACTGGTTTTAGATGACATTAGTTTGTGAAATTATTGCTGGTGCTGAGAGTGTTGTGTTTAAGCCAAGATGCAGTTATGAAGCCTGATGCAGTTGCTGTGGTAGTGTCATGACATCCATGTCACAACACTCGGATGTTTCACAGCCCTCCCTGTGAAGGGAATACAAATTAACAGCAGCGCTGCAGGTTACGCCTACCTGATTTGCATCTCAGAAAGATGCTGCACAACGAACAAGGGTTTTTCTGTTCCACTTTATATGAAAATCATTTGTGATACTAATTTTTAAATGAACTGAAGGTGTGTAGTTGACATCTAGTAAAGGGGATCGTGGCCAAATATTTGCAACAGTTTTAAAAAAATGCATGTTTAATGGTGAACCTCAGGGTGGAAAACAGAAATCACTCCCAGAGACAGAACTAATTTCCTTCCCTCTAGCTCAAGGCGGATGAAGCTCAGGATCTCTTGCTCTGGCCTTTGGGAAAAGGGATTAGTCTTAGGATCACTTAACATTAATTTTAAGAAAATATGTGATAGCAATCAAGAAAAAAAGAAGATTCTTTCTGAGAAGGAAAGAAGAAGGAAAAAGTACCAAGATCGGACATGAGTACACCACTTAAGATTTATATTTCTTTCTGCCAATTTACCTCTTCTGTAATTGAATCTAAAGATGATGTGGCTTCATCATAGAGAAAAATAAGTGGTTCCTTTAGCATCGCTCTAGCAATTGCAACTCTTTGCTTTTCTCCTCCTGTGCAAGGGGAGGGGAAAGGGAATGGAAGGAAAAAAAAAAAAAAGAAGTTATAGTCGTGACCTTTGGGTTATTTTAAACACAAAAATAGAGGTGTTCATTCCTTAAGGCCTTTCAATACACATCATTGTTACTACTGATACAAGTCTGCAGATAGGTTACATAAGATACCATGCAGGTTGTTTCTCCAAGAAAATACAGTAATTCCAGACTATCTTTCCTAAAAAGGAGGGTGAACTATTTCACAGATCTGGAGGCACTAGGAGCGAGGGGGAACAGTAACTCTTTCCACACGAGGGAGGCTCGTGCTCCTTCGCCTGCTTCCCTACAAGCCACGTCCCACGCAGCACGGGCAGGCGACAGGCGACGCGACGCGGCTGCAGCATTCCCGGCAGCTCACGCACCTCGCACCTCCTCCTCCCAGGCTCTCCTTGAAACTCACCCAGCCTTCCGCTACTCTGTAGCCTGAAATAAGTGTCCAAAACTAACAGCTTTAATGAGTGAATTTCATTAAGAAATACAATTAGCCTGGCACTGAAATCATCTTCATTATGCAACGCACTGCCTGCTGGTTTTTTGATATAAGTGGTTTCAGAATAGTTTCCTTCCTTCACAATTCTTACAGACAACTGATTTGCCCAAGAATAACTTATGACAAGTTTTATAGACAGGAACACAGGTGCATTTGAGGACTTAAAATCTGCTAAACATTTGGTATGAACACAAACATTTAACATTTGTGCGCCTGCTCTCCTGTGCAGGAGGCAAGACTTGGCAAGATTCTGTTTAACACCATTATAATTCTTATTAATGTTCCACTCCTATCAAAAGAGAACATGCTCTAATAAACCATTTAAGAGCCTGATAATCCTGGTGCCGTTCAAGACTTTAACTATCTTTGGGGGAAAGGTCAGTAGTAACTGGATTGAGTAAATTGTGCAGCTCTATTTTCATACACTCTCCCTCTCTCCCCTTCTTTGAAGCATGACCAAAGCTGACAACTTGGCAATATCCCCGTTTGAAAGGCATGCACCAATATCAAAATTCCATGGTCTTTCATTTGCAGCACACAGACCCATTTCCTGCTCATCCCATCCCCATGCATGCCAGCAGCACTTTAAGTGCACTGCCATTACGGAGTTTTGTTCCTATTAAGATTCTTGGTAGCAGAGTAAAAAATGTAAGATTAGACAACACTCCTAAAATATATTTTATAATACTCAGTTCCAAGAATATGTACATTCTTCCTTTACAGGAAGAACAGAATCTTTAATATAGCAGGGCTGCAAAAGCTGCACACAGAGAGGATCCAATTCAGGTATTACTGATTAAATTAACCACTTGTTTCTCTCAACAGATTTAAATAGCCAGAGAAAAAGGGCCCGAAATTGAGACTGCAGCTATTTCTGGCACCACACACTAGTGCCTTGTGCCATCATCCACACCTCACTCTCAGTACTGTCACTGCCTTTCTCCAAGCCATCTTCCATGTCAGTGCTCCCCAAAACTTCTTTTTTTTTCCCCATAATGAATATAAAATGCCTGAACTTAAATGAGAACCACTCAAATACACAAACCTTTCACTACTACCACCCCTCCTTCTTTTTTTTTTTTTGAAGGAGGAGTAATGTTAAATCAAGCCAGGAAACAGACAAGCAAGGCACAGGCTCAGCCCACGTGCTGAGCACTCCCAAATGCACTTGAGATCAAGGGATCCAATGTGAAACCTTGTGCCCTACCACTATCCCTACTGACCAGTAAGTCTAAGCAAAGTCCCAGAGTGTTTTGCTTTCTTGGAACAGGAGCAGGAAATGATTTTAAAGAACTTTGCAGTCACCAAATGCATCAGTGAATTAAATGGAAAAAGTCTCATTAAGTGACTATGACTATCCCGTTCTATCTTGCTTAAATATCCATTAAGGAAAAAAAAAATCCCAAAACTTTAAATGCTCTAAGGCGTTAGGATAAAGGCTTATCTAAAATAAAATATTTATGCACCTAATAATAATATATCCTTCAGTCAATCAAAACAGGAATTTTGATTTTGTTTCATTCAATGTACATTTAATGTTACATCCTTGTGCTTTCTTTTAAAGCAATTTTAACCTAAGACATTTAAGACTGAAAGTGCTTCACTGGAATCTAGCTACTACCTAAAAATTATACTTAAAGATAAACTTGGCACTTTAAAAATCCTAAATTCCCCATTAAAAAACAGAGAAAGAATAAGGCAAATGATTTAGACATTTCCCAGTTCCCAAATGATCTCTTATCTCACATTATCATCTCACATTATCTGCCACAAAAACAGTATTTGCTTTCAAGTATTATCTTCCCCATACCCCTCAAAAAAACTGTGTGCAATTTTAATAGACACGGAAGGAGTCTTATAAGAAATATGGGTGCAGAGACAGACATCCAGAGAAAAGGAGTAAACTTAATTTTGTAAAACTATAAAAAATGCTTTTGTAAAAAATGTTATCTTTTTTTTTGTAAAAAAGCTGAAATGACATGGGGCTGCACTAGAGGGTATCTATCTGACTGTGAAGAAACTCAGAGAACCTAAACTCAGGATATTTGATTTCAGTATCAAAGCTGCTTTATGTAAATCCACAACTTGTAGATCTGCTGTCACAGTTTATGCATTAAAAAATGTCAAAAATACAAAACACACACAATTCAAAATGAGAAGACCTGAAGGCACTTTTATTATGAAAAGGGCCTAAAATTGTTACATGGCAACAACATACCCAATAGCATTATTTACTACCCCCCCCAAAAAAAAATCTAGATTTCAATTGTTATAAGTCTAAATTTAAAGATCAAAATTCAGGAGGTCTCTGCATAGGTGAATCTATACCGTCATACATTTAGAGAGGAGACATGCAGAGAATTCTCCATTTTTTCCATATGTATTCCACAGGCCAAATATTTCACAGTAAGACCGTTTTTATTTAGATGTATTTATGTGCTTACCTCTCACCTCATTCAACATTATCCCCTGCAAATACATCCCTTTAGATATCTTGTAGATGGCTTCCTTAAACTACAGTTTATTAACATTCAGCCCTGCACTTATAATGAAATGAGCTAAAAGCAAGTGTAACTGAAGAACAAACTACACACTGAGTTAGCAAAAGGGATGCAAAGCACATGTGCACTTAAGGACCTACCTGAGAGCTTGAGTCCCCGCTCACCAACCTGCGTGTTGTAGCCATTGGGCATTCGGAGAATGGCCTCGTGGATGCCCGCCAGCTTGGCCACCGCGTACACCTCCTCCGGCGTCGCGCCGATGTTGCCGTAGAGCAGATTGTAATAGATAGTATTATGGAAGAGAACAGCATCCTGCGTTTAGAGAAGCAACATCTTAAATGAGAAATTATCATCACTGGTTCAAAACTCTGTCCCCGACCCTTGGAAGAAGCCAGTACAAAATATCTTATGTTTTTCCACAAATGTTTTGAGTATTATAAACCCCCATCACTCGTTCTTTTACTGTTTTGTTAACTCAAAGGTGATAATCATCGATAAATGTTCATCACTTCATTGGAAACAGCCTCCAGCTTTAAGAGCTTAAACACATTTCATGAATTAGATCTACACAATGCACATAAAATCTGGCAGTATTTCCTGAGAAAATTAAGACTAGTGACTTTCAAAGGAGCCAGACAGGATCACTGCATTACAACTAGCTTCTATTGAATCACAGTGCAAGAATATAAAAAAAGTACCATTACAAGGGGCTATCTGGGGAGAGTGAAATATTTTAATACCTGGGGTACAACTCCTATTGCCTTTCTCAGACTTTCCAAACTGACATCTTGTATGTTCTGTCCAGCAACATAAATATTTCCATGCTGAGGTTCATAGAAACGAAATAATAATCTCACAATTGTGCTTTTCCTGAAATATAAAGAGAATTGAAGCCACTATTAAATCCTTAGTTATCATTTGCAAATCTACAGTCAAAACATTGATGTCACAGACAAAAGAAATAAAAAACAAAACACAAGAACAAACTCATTTACAAAAACGCCAATCAATGATGCAGAATTTTGCATGTAGTCCATTTACCCACCCTGACCCACTACCTCCTACAATGGCCACTTTCTTTCCTGCAGGGACTTCAAAAGACACTCCAGCAAGGACTTTCTGCCCCTCAAGGTATTCAAAATGCACATTATCAAAGGCGATGGCAGCAGTCTGTGGTGTGATCTGCAGGGGTGGAGCCAGCTCTTTGTCCTATTAAAAGAAGAGTGCCACTTTACAGGCTGCCCAGAAAGTAATTCAAGCAGTTCAACAAGCTAAACAGTCCATTTCCTAGCTCAGAAAAAGGCAAACAGACACTCTAGCTTGGATGTGTTGAAAATAATTACGATCAGCCACACAGGTAAAATTGGTTTAATCATCCTTTTCCCCAAAGAAGACAAAAATTTTTGTTGTAAACATTCTGCTTCACAACTCCTGCAGTAATAAATTCTGCATCATTAATTACAAATAAAAAATTAAGCACAAGGTATGAATGCTTAAACAAAAACCTCAGTACAAACACAGCTTTTGTGAAGCAACTTTTGCTCTCAAAGTTTCTGCAAGAAAAAAGGAGCAGCTATTGCACTTAAAGAGGATGCAAAGCAGCATCCTTACCCAGTATCCCTTTCTAGAACAGAAGTTAAATCCTAAAAGCATCAGAGTAGAACAGCAGCACTGCTAAAATCAAACCCATTAAACATGCAAATACTTTAAGGAAAATAAGCTACTACTTACTTTAATTCTAGTATCTACGCTGAGAAGTGTAAACAAGGTATTCATATCTATAAGAGCTTGTCTTGTCTCTCTGTACACTGTTCCCAGGAAGTTTAGGGGTAGCGAAAGCTGGAACAACAATCCATTGACCATCACGAGGTCTCCAACAGACAGGCTCCCTTGAGACAAAATGCGTGGGAAAGAAAATGAGACTTTAAGGGTAGTCTTGTTAGGAAGCAGAAAAAAAAAATGAAAAAATAAATTTAGTTTTCATTGTAGCATTTCTAAAACCAAATGTTTAAACAGTAAACGAAATACATTCCTAAAGCATCAGCTTTTAGCTAGGAAGGTACCTGAAAGGAATAGCCATGTTTATATGGATTTTGCTAATAAAATAACACCTGGAAATTAAGCAGCATATTAACAAATTCACAGAAAATACAGTATTGCTATAAATTATATACATAAAGGGTTCTAAGAAAATTAGAAGTATGGGAAAAGAGGAAATAATACACAAAAGCAAATGGGAAAAGCAAGCATTTTGAATCTTAAAAACTATAACCAAGTCTAAATACTCAATGCATCATGAGCAAGAGCGAGAACTTCCACTGCTCTGTAGCATAGAGCTGCTCATACACGTCGTGATGACCTCTGGGCAGCTTAGTACCAAATACATTGATCAAGAAATGACTTGGGATGCGGCACACTAGCTAAAGGCAAGTGCTGAGCCAGTTCAACTGAAACAGGTCAGGAAAGGTGATTTAAAGCCACACTTCCCACATCCTCCTCAAGGGCCAGTCTACATTTTCTTAAGAAAAGCCCTACACTGCACCTACTGACTTACTCATCCACTCTTGCCTGTCCACGCCTTGCTTAACAAAAGCAAATGCACACACAAGAGAGACACCCTGATATAAAAGATGTACCCCAACCTATTTGGATGCTAATGGAGGGATTTATATTTAAATCTAAATATCAATCAAAAAGCCTACAATGCATAATATGGATGAATTAAGGTAAAGGGAAATCTATTTTAGCTTATATACAGAGCAGTTACCTGCAACAATGCCCTGGCTAGCAAGCACCATGATGGCTGTTAAGCCAATACTAAATATAGCACTTTGTCCAAAATTCAGCAGAGCTAAAGTAGAGGTAGTCTTCAGGGAGGCATTTTCATAGGTCTTCAAGAATCCATCATACCGTTGGGCTTCATATTTTTCATTATTGAAATACTGTAATACACACAGAAATAATAAATGTCACATTCTCAATACACAAAACTGTATTTAACTCATTATAAAATTTAATAGAATGCTACATGCGCAGACACACATACCTGCCTTCAATACTTCTAACAACTAAAGAGAAAAAAGGATCAAACACCAGGATATGAAGGCAAAACTACTGAGAGACAAAAACCAGCACTTTCCACATGGATAAAGGAGGCAATACAGAAATCCCTACCATGCTCATAATGTAACAACATACTGGGGATCTTTCTTGCAAAACTTGTACCTAATTAATGTCTAGCCTCCAAAATCCAGCTACCATCATATAGTGGAAAGAAACAAAAGTTACTGCCCTCTATTTACTAGAAAAACCTTTTTGTTTCAAGGATGCCAAGGTCTACTTTTCATACAATCTCTCCTTTCAGGTAGAAATTGCATATCTTTCCAAATATAGCTCTCCAATTAACAGAAACATAAAATCAGCATGATTCTGGGTAAATTTAAAGTTGTCCACAGGAACTTTTAATAGCAGCTGTAAAAGGACCAGGAGACACCTGTGAGCACTGTAACAGAGTGCTACAGATAGCAACAGGCACAATCTCTGCAGAAGACAACACTTTACATGCAGAAGATAATTTTTGCTAATGAATAGATATCTCTCCAAGCCTCTAAGTCTGCGTTTTGCAGAAACTAAAGGTCAAGGCCATTCAGTCACGACAGAAGCTTCTCGCTCTTTAACAACAAATAGGATTTTTCAAGCCCAAATGATTTCCATGCTACAGTGTTTATACTCTCGGAGAGAACAGTGCTTTCCAAACCATGCTATTGTTTGAAACACGTAGCCATACAAAAGAGGAACCTTATGACTCACTTTGCTGAGGCTGGGAGATGCAAGACAAGGCAGGGACAAGTAAGGCAAAGAGCCTAGCAGTACAGATCAGTCTTACCTTCACAGTCTCATAATTTAGCAGCGAGTCAATTGCAGCATTACCTGCATCATTATCTGCTTTGTTCATTTCGATTCGGAACTTAGTCCTGGAAAAGGAAGGTGTAACAGAGTCGTGAGCGGGGGCTGCGGCGGCGCGTGGCGCGCGCGGCGTCGGCGGGGATGCCTCACCTCCACTGCGTGATTCCTATGGTGAACGCGGCGTACGCTCCTAGTGTCCCCAGGGTGACCAAGGCAAACTCTGCACCACACTTGTAATACTGAAAGGTTGTAGGAAAGTATGTCATAACAACACTCAAAGTTTTCTGTTGTCACGAATTTATGACACCATAGCCTGGAGGGACAAACTCAGAAGGTCCCTCCCAACACATCCCTTGCACTTAATGGTTTAAACATTGTCTGAAGCTTAGCAGGAGAGGAACCAGGAGAACGGCAAAGGCAGAACAGAGCCAAGAGACAAGCAGAGATAACCAAGAGCGAATGTCTAGCACCATACAGGAAAAGGAATGTTACTGTTACCAAAAGCACATATTTGTGCATATGATTGGGGGGAGATTTTAAAAGAAAAATGTAGCCTGGGGACAAACAAGTGGCCTTACAAAAGAATTCAGGAAGAGGCCTCACTAGTTCAGGGCACATCAGGACAGAAAGTCAAAAGTAAAATTGAGGTATTGTGGCCTGGCAGCTGCTAAGCAGCTTGGTTTGCAACTGTCAAAGGTTACAAAATTGAATCAAACACCAAAAGGAGTTTTAACATGTATTCTTAAATTTACGTTTGACTTAAGTCTCTCAAAACAGAAGGAAACAAGATTCTTGCTTCTAACTTAGTCTAAGCTTCATAAGTGAGATTTAAATTTGGCATATCCTTATTTCAAATACAGTAAAGTAATAACTTGCTAAGACAGTAAACTAATAATCACTCCCTCCACTCAACACAGATAGGTAACATTTCTGGGCATTTACATCTTTCCTTTTCGATATTTACCCAGACACATTTGATACTTCCATGCACAGTTTGCTTTTCTGAGTTCATTTTTTCCAACAATCCATTTCTGGATATTTACATCTTTCCAGACACATTTGATAACTTCCATGCACAGTTTACTTTTCTGAGTTCATTTTTTCCAACAATACTAAAGAAATACATTAAAAATCACTTACATAAGCACAACTGACTGCAGACATGTACTAAGCATGGAAGTAATTTAAAATAAGCAGATTTAAAATAACTGATATCTGAAAAGTAAGAATTGTTCTCCTTCAGAGTGGTTACTTTCACAACAACCAACTAGCAAGTTCAATGACTGCTTAGACTTTGGCAAAAGAATTTCAGTTCATTATTTCCCAAAGAGACCACTGCAACTCATGAAAACCCCACACTTACCAAAATCCCACTGACGAGCGCCACTTCAAACATGGTAGGTCCCAGATTAAATACTAGAGCACTAAGGACAAAGCTGATGCCTCTCGTTCCTCTGTCGATGGTTTTTGACAGGGCTCCTGTCTGCCTGCTCAGGTGGAAAGCCAAGTCCAAGTTGTGAAGATGCAGAAACACATTCTTCGCTATCCTCCTGATTGAATTCTGAGCGACTTTCCCGAACACTGCATTTCGAGCTTCATTAAATAAGGCCGCCCCAGCTCTTGAGATACCATCTAAAAAGAGATTAGTAGAATTGAGGTTTTTTCCAACTTGCCTTCTTGCATGAAATTACCACATTAGATTCATTTTTCATGTATTTTCAACATTTTTACTTCAAAGGTGATTGATTTCATTTATCCAAAATTTTACACACTTCTTATAAACAATGTACAGACATTTTAAAGTTTCTCTTACAACTATTTGGTGCAAAGGGTCAAAGTTATAAGTGAGAAGCATTATCTCCTTTTGTAGCTGGAACACTAGAGCCAAGGTCACAGGACACTGGAAACAGATGCCAGCAGAGAGGTATTAGAGAATAAACATTTCAGTGCTTCACAGGGCAGAGGTGCAGAGCTCTGCTGTCCCACTAACTTCCTGAGAAAGATTAACCCCGCCAACGGATTCAGGAATCCCACTTACAGCCGATGAGAACAGCAGTTGCCACTGTTGCAACTGTATTGGGTGCATCACTGAGGTTCAGCATGTTTCCAGACATCTGGTTGAGGTTGTCTACTGCATATTTAAACATGAAAGGAACCAATATATTCATGGCCTAAAAGCATAAGAACACCAATTAGTCAGGATACATTAAAACA